TAGCTTCCCCCGAATCGTTCTGTTACGTAGTCCATCAATGAACAGGTCCCGGCCTACCTGCTCGCCCCGCTCAGTCTTTACAAACATTCGATGAAATCTGTTTCGATACTCGGTAATGGATTCGAGTGGTTTCTGGACTCGATCCTTGATCATATAGAGTGCTTGTTCGGGGTGAACATAATCAAAGTGGTTCATGAAATCCCGCTCGAATGTGGGAAGATCCACCCATACATAAGTGTTATACCAATAATGTGCATCTCCCCCCATCCGCGCGGGGATGTTGATGTGAGCTTCATCGTTCGTATATCGCTGAGCTCGGAGCGTGGCTAACCATGCTCCGGTGAGATGGTGTGCTGGGTCAAATAAATAAAGATCCGGTGGAGCCGCAGGGGTTCGCGCAGGCGGGTTAGGCGGTTGATTGGGGATGGCCGCCGCAGCGGGTGCTGCAGCAGCGGCCGCAGCCATGGCGCCTGCTCGCCTTGTGGTGGATGTTCGGCTTCGTGTAGCTACAGGACTACGTTGACGTATATTACCAGCTGGAGGGCGCCTACGTGGAGCCAGATCGCCTCGCCTTAGCCAGTATTGAGTCTACAGACCCTTATCGCTTAGCCACGTGTCGGGCTCCGATACCAACCTCACGCCCGGCGGGACTTCCTGATCGGAGTGGGATGGGGGCCTGGAAGTGCGAAGAGGGGTGTGCCAAGGATTTTAGGGAAAGTGGGGGTTGAAGTCCCAGGTTGGAACTGGGATCTTCTGTGGCCGAGTTCAAGGGAAGGAGCATGTCATTGAGTACGTTTCCCGGACGGTGCCAGACGAGCGACAAAACGATTCCGCGCCACAAGGAGAATGCTATGTGGTAGTGTGGGGTATCCAACACTTCCACCCGTATTTGTACGGTCAAAAGTTTCTGCTCGTCACCGGCCATGAACCTCTGTTGGCCCTGAAGAAGCTAACCAACTACACGGGCATGATCGGACAATGGACGGTGCGGTTGCAAGAATATGAATTTGACATTGTTCATCGAAAAACAGAGAGACACGGCAACGCCGACGGACTGACATGTTTGCACCGACCTGGTAAAGTGCCAAAAGAGGAAGAGATCACACCGTGGAAGGACCCGGACATCAACAACGGTCCAAAGTACGGAGAAGTTGCGGTCATTCCACGTGGCAAGAAGCCAGTGAAGAGCAATGGGTGACGGAGGTAATGTCCCGATTCCCTCTCTTTCTTCCCCATCCTCTTCTTTCGGCTCCCTTCCTAACAAATTTTGCTATTTCTGCGAGTCAATTTCTCGGGTCTATTCCGTCTACATGTGTCCAAAAGGGACGGGATATGTTGAATGGGTAGATTGTCGGAAATGTGTCGCACGTGCTCACGGTGCGTGCATACATTATCGGAGTAGTGATAAACCCTGGTTTTGTCCCTTATGTCGCACTGACAAGATTCCGACAGAAGCCCGATTCCTCGATGCCAGGTCAGAAGGCCCCGACAAAATCCAGAAGTTTAGAAAAGCGGAAGTCTGGACAGATGTCGCCTTAATAGCCACGGTGGTAGGCAACTCCCTCGAAACCTTCTCCAAGGAGGATCGGAGGAGGGCCAATGAAAGAGCACGGGATTACCGATGGGTGGATGGACGGTTAGAGAAGCGTAAAACGAACGGCAGTGGAGCATGGTTAGTAGTTCCGTACCCGTTCATGCGGTACGACTGGGTACGAACCGCCCACGAGGAAACGGCGGCGCATTCTGCCGTGCACATTACCGAGGCTGCAATTGACAGAAACCAATGGTACTGGTCCAATATCCGAGACGACGTTAAATTCATCGTCCAACACTGCCAGGTCTGCGCTGCTGATAAGGCCCCAACCCAACCGCCTAGGTCGATAGTCCCAACTGGGTTGAAAGGCCGTTTCAGAGGGTTAGTATGGATACTACTGATATAGTGGTGCCCCCTGGACCGAATAGTTGCGACTGTTCAATTCTGATGGTTTTCGTCGACCACTTTTCTAAGTGGATCGAGGCCTACCCCTGCAAGACACGACAAGCCGCGGAAATCACGCGGTACGTCAACCGTTTTTGGGCATGCACCAGGACACAGAGGAGATCCTGACCGACAATGGGGTGGAATTTAGAGGAGAAGTCGAGAGGAACCTGGTCATACACGGCGTCTCCATACGGCACACGGCCCCACACATGTCCCAGTCTAACGGATTAGTGGAAAACGCGAATAGGGTGATAAAAACGGCTTTGCGGCGGAATATTGCGGCACGAGACCCCCGACCCTGGCCTGATATTGTTGACCACATCTTGGCGGTCCATCGCGGAACGCCCCACGAATCGACGGGCCTGAGCCCCTTCCAGCTGCGGATCAATAGTGTCGCGTGTGTATCGATACCGAGCCTCCCAGACGAATCAGGACTCAACCGACGCCCCACAAGGGCCACCGCTTGGGACAAAGCCAAAAGGCACCTGGAACTCATGGAGCGGTCCTTACCTAGATTGGACCGGAAGCGCCAACGGTCCACCGAATCGGCCCATGGCCGACAGGTCCGAAGCTACGAGGCCCGGAACGGGAATGCGGGTCCCAGGACCCAGTATAAGTTAGGGGATATCGTGCACGTAAGGAAATGTGCGCGCCAGTGTAAACTAGCGCCACGATTCTTCGGACAGTATCGAGTGATTGAGCTCGGACCCAACGGCGTGGACACCGTGCGCCTCGCTCCCGGGATTTCCGGCAGTCGATCGGCTCACCCGATCACACGCCACGTGTCCTATCTCCATCTTCTTCCCTCTGTTCCGTCTCCTTCTCCATCAACCTCTCCCGACGACGACTCTATCTCCTCTGCATCTCCTTCTCCTTCTCAATCTTTGTCGGATACGCCGTCACCCTCGCCATCGCCATGAGCTTTATGGAGGAGAGAGCTCTAAGTGAAGAAGCACTGGTAGCACGGGGGAATTTGACACTGCGGCAGGTGCATCATCCTCGTCTTAGTTTGGACCTTCAGCGGGTTGCGCAATTCTTCTGCTCGAAGGGCGTCTACGCGGCAGCAGAGATCCACGTCGACGGGAGGGCTGACGCGATCAGATTGGCTGAAGCTGTCGGGTTGCGACAGCGAACATCTGTGGACGTCGGCCGGATAACGGTGGTGGTTAATTTCAGTGGGGATCTCACGGCGATCCCCCCCATGCGACACACGAGAATCAAGGCAACGTTGCTTCTGTGGGCGCACAATCTTCAGAACGAGTGGACCCAGATCCTGGCGCACCAAGGGGACGTGATCGCACCAATCCGAGCGATCGAATACAACGGCCTTCGGCTGGATCGGCGTGACTCGCCGACGCAATTACCCCCTCTCATCCCCTTCCATCACCGATGAGTTCCTTCCCGATCTCTACTTTCGAGCTTCCTTCTTCCTTCCCCACCTTTTGGCAGTCTGACCTTCATCCCCGCCTCTCCTTCTGCATAGATCCTCTGGTTGTTCCCCTCCTCGATCCCTCTCAATGGGACGCATGGCGCAGAGACTTCATTGAACTCTCACTGTGTTTGGCGGAAGTACGGTTGACGTGGACGAGGGACGAGAGCAATTATCTGCGGACTGAGCGATTGGAGCTCCTTTTGATTCAGGCGTGGCGGACGGAAGTAGAGGGGGACCTTCTCGATTTCCTATTCGGGGCAGTACGTCCGGGCTGTCGGAGGCTTCTCACCCAGGAGCTTACAGTCCCGATTGCGCAGCTGGCCGACCATCTATACGTCAGCATTGTCTCCCAAGTCGACCCGCGCTTGGTGCCCCACGTCACTTCGCGCACGCTGTCGCCGTATCTTCAGTGGTCAGCTTGCGTGGAGGGCTTCCCATCGAGAATTCCGCCTTCACGGTTGGATTACTTGGATCCGCGCAACATCGTGGATCCCGCTTTCTACAGGCCGCCGTGCGAAGACGAATTGGAGGAGATAATCCTCAAGGAGCTTGCGGAAGAAAGTTCGGAGGAAGAGGAGGAGAATCTGAACGAAGACGAAGGGGAGCCGGCACATCACCAAGGAGGAGACGAAGACGAGCTTCTGCAAACGGAGAGCGAAGAGGAAGCAGAAGAAGAAGACAGCGAGCAGGGGAGCGGTGATGACAACGATGAGGAGCATGCCAATGAGGATCCCCAACTAGAAATTGCGCCGGTTGCTGATCTTCCGATCAGCAACGATCCAACGCTCGACCTGGAGCCACCTCAGCTAGACGACGGCCATGTGGCCCAGGTGGCTGGGCCATCCGCTCACCGGCCTCCTTCCTCACCGCGACGCCGACGACCAAGCCGCTCCCCCTCCGCCTCCCTCTCCCTCGCGGCCCATCCCCCACTTCGAGCACGTCGAGATGAGGCCGATCGGCCTTCGTCCTCGGGCTCTCTCTCTCCGCCCCCATGACTTCCTCACCCTGCGCCAGCTTACCCGTCCTGCCGTCTTCCCCCACAATCCCTTCCCCCACGACACTTTTCGCCATCACTTCTCCATCCATCTCTCTGTCACAGTCCATCCCCACTCATCCTCCCGGCGTGCTTCCCCCGAGTTCCCTCTGCATGTACTTCTCTTCAGCATTGGATGGCGTCGTATTAACGTCGTAGAGGTTTATTGCCTCATCACGGGGTTAATCCCCGCCTGCGCCGACCGCGATCGCTTTCGCGCGGCGCTTCTTAGAACCTTTACCACTCTCTATCCCGACTACCTCGCTTCTCTCCCCACTACTGGTCGCCGATTCCCCTGCTTCCATAGAATCGTCCATCATCGGAACCTTCCGGAAATGGACGATGAGCTGGAACGCTTCTTCCCGCCTATCCCGACTCATCCCCCATCAACACCTCCGCCTGCCTATCGTCTTCCCTTTCCTCTTCCCCACGAGTGACGACAACCAGGATACGACTGCCGCGCAGCATGACGTCCACACTTGTTCGCACGGTGTGCGGCAGAAAAGAAGATCAACCCTCCACGACCAATCAATCAAAGAGGAGCGACACGTCAGCTAGCAAGCAGGAGCTTGCTTATCTTTGGAACCCCCTGGGCGTCACATATGTGACGAACTAGCTTCTGTAATGCGCGACTTTCGGAGCGAAGTGCTAAGCGGGGTCCCACATCGATTGGATGGGTTGATGGAAAATTGCATGTGTGTCCTTGCTTTTTTTTTGTTGTTTCTTCGTTCTCGCACGAGCCCCTGATGACAGTTGGGGACAATTCGGGAATACGCGGGGAAAAGGGGGCGAAACTTGGACGGATGCGGAGTGCGCGCCGAGTGCGCATTGACGTCTCTTTTTTTCTTTCAATTTTGTTTTGTCGAACTTTTGGGCGCGCAGACATCGCGCGGGAATTTCGGTGTCCCTTTTGAATTTCTTTCTTGAATTTTCTTTTCAGATCTTGGTCGGAGCCATACGGCCTTCGGAATTTTGATTTTCTCTTCGGACCTTTTCGGCAGGCTAGCTAGGAATTTAGGAATTTTGGAATTCCTGCTTTTCTGGGGCACTTCTCTGCATGCTCGCGCGCTCCTTCCTGCTGCTGCGCCGGAACGTTGATTGATTGGCGCCTTAATCCTTTTGCAACTGTAATTTTTGGCGCACACTTTTGTAACTGTATCTTTCTRTTTCTTGCTTCTTCTTCTTCCCGCCTCGTTTCTTCCTTCCCCCKCCCYCCTGCCTACATTGAGTAGCCGCGGTTGCATGTTCGGATCGATGCGTGGAGTGGGTACGTCCCCCACGCCGYGGYCCGGCCATGSAAACGTAGGCACTCCCTTTCCCCCATCTATCTACGTCCTTGTAATTCCGTGTTCTTCGCGCATGCATGCACACTATAAATTCCGGCTGCGCGATTAACTTGCTCTCTTAGCCAACTGGAAGCTCGGGGTTGCGCGATGTGAGATCGGCACACGAGCGAAGTAAGAGGTGAGCAGAGGCGGAGTTGGGCGATCTGACGAGCTGACGCCGAATGCGCAGGGTTGACGTGGGCCACGATGGACTGTGGGCACGGGCGAACCTGACGGGTGCAGGAGGGTTAAGCGGGGTGACATCTTCGCGGGTTGGTGCGCGACGACGGACTGTCCGCATCAGAGAGAGAGAGAGAGAGAGAGAGAGAGAGAGAGAGAGAGAGAGAGAGAGAGAGAGAGAGAGAGAGAGAGAGAGA